AAATTCGTTTTGCAATCGATGGAAATCGAACATTTCAATTATCGCCACTCCGCGCTAAACACGATGATCGACTGCCGTCCGGTTTTGCTCGGACGACAGGCGAATCCGAGCGCGAAGACAACATGTCGATTACGGAGCCGTCAAAAAAAATCGATTGAATAAAATCTAATGAAGAGAGGAAGAAACGCGCGACATGTCAAAATAATCGATATCGGAACAGCGAGGAAGGGAGCATTACTGTCGAAATACCGCGGCAGCAAAATGGAAAATAAATTCATCAGCTCGATATAGTTCGATAGTTGAATATCGCGGTATCGTTCATTCAATATCCCTCCCACCCGAAGCACCGTCGGAAATTTCGAAAAAGCGAGGCGTCCCGAAAGCGCTCGGCGTCCCGAGTCGAAATTCTGTTGAACCTTTAAATCTATTATGTAATCGAAACCATGTTGAACCTTTAAATCTATTATATAGTAGGACCTAAGACAGTAGAGGAGGTCGAGCTGCAAGTACTTATGCAAGTACTTTTGCCAATTTAGTATCAAAGTAGGTCCTTTCAAGTGGGAGCTAAAGTAAATTTTTAGAATTAAAGATTGAAGGGAGAGTAAAAAAATATGCCATCAAAGTAGGTCTATGTAGATGTAAATTATCCTTAAAAGTGTCAAAATAATATCAAAATTTCGACTCGAAATTTTGGCCCTGTGTCGAACCTTTAATTCTCTTATAGAACCTAAGACAGTAAAAGAGATCGAACTGCAAGTACTTACAAAATTTACTCTTACTTTAAAACTGATAGTGTCGGAAATTTCTACTTTTGTCACTTTAGCGTCAAAGTAGGTCCTTTTAAGTGGGAGCTAAAGTAAATTATTAGAATTAAAGATTGAAGGGAGAGTAAAAAAAATATGCCATCAAAGTAGGTCTATGTAGGTGTAAATTATCCTTAAAAGTGTCAAAATAATATCAAAATTTCGACTCGAAATTTTGGCCCTGTGTCGAACCTTTAATTCTCTTATATAGTAGAACCTAAGACAGTAAAAGAGATCGAGCTGCAAGTACTTACAAAATTTACTCTTACTTTAAAACTGATAGTGTCGGAAATTTCTACTTTTGTCACTTTAGCGTCAAAGTAGGTCCTTTTAAGTGGGAGCTAAAGTAAATTTTTAGAATTAAAAATTGAAGGGAGAGTAAACAAATATGTCAGCAAAGTAGGTTATTGCTGGTATTGCTCTATGTAGGTGTATAGATCAGTTCAGTAGGTGCAAATTATACTTAAAAGTGTCAAAATAGTATCAAAATTTCGACTCGAAGTGCTCTGGGGAAAAAAGGCAGTTAGCAACCCATTTTGGAGCCCACAATTAGTAATCAAATTATTTGAATTGTTCGTAACTCTAGTCTGGAAAAAATTTTGACCGTTTTTTTTTCGTAGTTGGGCAACATAACATTTCGGTTAGTGCCTCTTAAGTGAAAATTATCTTTGCGTTACTGAATATCGACAGAATTGATTAGTATTGCTTAAAAATCTTGGATATATTATAGACAGAATAGCTAATTGCGATTTTTAGTCACGCGGGGTAAAATGCGTAAGAGATTCGAGTTACGAGCAATCCAAATAATTCGATTGCTAATTTGTGGGCCCCAAAGTGGGCCGCTGTCTTTCTCTTCCCGCAGAGTGGGACGTGAAATTTGCGGCCGAGCGAGCGTGGATTTCCGCGATGTGAAAGACGCGGATCGCTGAACCGGTCGAGGACGCGGCGGCGCACCTGTTTGCACGTGAAACTTCCTCGTGCGTGCCGTCGCCGACTCCCCGCGTGTATAACTTGGCGTGCTACGTGTGCACACATGTGGTTTCGGTTGCATTATATCAACCGTGCGATCTACATATCCGGGAGGAGGCAAGAGCGCGCCTCCCGCGCGGCAGATTTCGGTCGACGCACGTACGAAGCTTAATCGAAACCGCCGCCGTTCTCCCCGCTTCGGCCGCGGATCTACGCGAAAATCTGCCGATCAACGAAAACCGACTCCGCCGTAATCGCTCGCGGCGATTCGGCGACGTTTAGGCTTAAGAGCTTGTTAAAACTAAGTCAGTTCCCCTAACAAAGTTTCACTTCGATCGACGTTATCGTGCGTGGCACGGTGGTCGCTCCGCGACGTGACCTTCTTTCTTTCCTCCGTCCCGAGGACTTTATATCCCACGACTTACGGTAATGCCCGCGCCCCGGGCGAGCGCGGGCGGGTAGCGTGCGACGCTTGCGGAAAAGCGCCGCCCGCAAATGCGAACGGCGAAGTGACGGCAAAGTGCTCGTCAAATTATAGGTATGCACTCGGGAAACGTTTACCGCGCCGTTGGAGCGTACCCGCCGGTGGTGCGCTGCCACGACGACCTGCTCGACACGAATTTTCAGGAGAGCGGCGGGACACGAGCGCAAGGACGGTGGGCCACTTTTGCCCGCCCGCTAATTTCATTATTCCGCGCGCAGACGTCGCGAGCGTCTCTGTGTCATGTCTTTGTCCTCGAGATACCTCAACGAAGTCAGACCGACCAACGGTACGCGAAATGAACTCCGCTCGGGCTGAAACGCGAGAAACACACTTCACGTGCCCCGCCACTGTACGTCTCGAAATCCATCCGTATCCATTAGTAATAATGCACGTTTTTTAAACTGGCGAACGCACGCGCGGGAAGAGAGACTCGCGTATACGGTTCGTATCGAGTTTGATGAAGCGCGCGAAGGTGGATTTCAGAATCGCGACGGAAGTTTCGGGTCTCTTATTATTAGAACTCTCCGGTTCCGCGAGAGGAGAGCGTTTTCCTCTTTCCCTTCTAAAGCTGTTGGATAAAAGGACGAGGGGGAGGGACGTATCCTCGTTTGTCAAAGAGCCCGCCGGCGGACGGAGGCCGCCGCGCACAGATCGACTTCGCTTATCGCCGATACCGACCCGGCCAATTTTTGCCCGGGGTACACCGGATCGTAATTCACGACGCAACGTGAAATATTCAGCACCCATCGTTCGCATGGCACCCCTTCTCTCCCACCGCGGGGCGAATTTCGAATTCAAAGATCCCCGGGCCTAGGGTTGCTGACTCCTCGCGGACGTGTACGCGCGTCGACTGGTATGAATACCCCGTCATGCTATCTCTCATACACGCGACGAGCATTCTGCAGGTTATTTTCGATGCATTCGCCTTCGTACGCGCCGACTATTTAGATTTTACCTAGAATAGAAGCGCGCGCGCGCGGGGCCGCTTAGGGCAGACAGACCAGATAACTGGATCGAATTTGGCACGCGGACAGGTCTAATTATTTATAAATAGGAGAACCCGTTACGCGACACGGTGTATATTGTTAACAATTGTAATAATGCACATCTGTTACGGCGGATCTAATTTCGGCCGGCTTGTCTCGTCGGCGTCCCTCGATTTCGATTTTCCCCGTGCGATACGCGTGGCAAGTGAAGTATTCCCGTCGAGAAGAGTTTGCGTACCGCGACGCTGCGATACAACGTGATTATTTAGCAAATATGATAATCCAGGTACGGGGAGAGAATTCTCTCGTATAATTCATCCAGAAAGTGTCATGTAAGCGTGGGACAACGTGGCATTTCGAAGAATTTTATCAGGATTGTTCATTTGACTGGTAAAATGTACGGCAAAATGTCATCGTTTTATTCAAATAATCTTGACTTGACTGACAAAGTGTACGAGACGATAGCTAAAAGTTTTGTACACCGAGAGAATTCTCTTTTAAAATTCACCCTGAAAGTCATGTAATCGTGGGACAACGTGGCATTTCCAAGAATTTTATCAGGTTTTTTTCGTTTGACTAGAATGTTTGGTAAAATTTCAATCGTTTTACTAGTAGAATGTATGGTAAAATTTCATCGTTTTACTCAAAGTAAGGTCTATATGCAGAATAACTAATAATCTTGACTGACAAGTGTACGAAGCTGTAACTAAAAGTTTTGTACACCGAGAGAAATCTCTCTTAAAATTCATCCTGAAAGTCATGTAATCGTGCGACAATTCGTGGCATTTCCAAGAATTTTACCAGGGTTTTTCGTTTCACTAGTAGAATGTGTGTGGTAAAATTTCAAACGACCCTGATAAAATTCTTCGAAATGCCACGTTGTCCCACGACCGCGCGATTTTCAGGGCAAATTTCGAGAGGAAATTCTCTCCCCGTGTATAAAACTTTCAGCTAGTTTCGTACACTCGTCAAGACAAGATGATTAGTTTTCTTGCATAGTCCTTCGGATAAAACGCTAATCCAGCGCCTCGATTGCGACACCGCGTGATTCACGAAGAAGCGAGAACACGGCGCATCATCTCGCCGCTCACGTCACCGTGCATAACACTTGATGCAATCGCCTATAATCCGCTCTCTATCAACCATCGCGGCTCCTAACTAAACGATCTACTCCGATCTAAACGTCGTTCAGCGGCATCGCGGGATATAAATAAATCACGCCCCAAATATTTCCATTGAAGTCGCTCCGGAGCGACCGCTCGTGGGCGATTCCGCGAAAGGGGGAAGACCAGGTTCCAGTTCCGCGAGACAACGTTGCGACCTTTCAATCGCGACCGCGGGCCTCGCCGCTCGTCGCCCGCGGCGCGATCGCCGCCTCGTTCGATGATAACGGAAAGGGGCGGGAATCGGCGCTTTCTTCGCGAAGAAAACCAACTTTAAACCCCGGCGGCTCGGAGTAAAGTTAAAATTTCGCAGCTTGAATGAGAAGCGCGACGTATCTCGTTCGAGGCCCGGAGTCTTCGCTACGAAATCAATTTCCAACTTGTTTCCAGCGCGCCTTAACTCAATTTTTTCGCGAGGCATCGAGGTAGGTAACTCCCTCCCCGTATATCGTCGCGTGTGTATACCTTCGAAACGAGATTTTCCGAAGAGGACGCGCACGAGGCGTCCCGCGGGAGTGAGTCGGCGAGCGAAGTTAGCGGAGACGCGGAACCGGAAACGAGATAGGGAGGACGCGAAGGGGATCGCGAGGCGTACCTTACGCGGCTCCGGTGCGTAGATCCCCGGCAGGGGCGTCAGCAGGTGCAAGCCGGCGGGATTCGGGATGCCGGAGGCCGGGTGTCCCGGCGGGATCGGCAGCGGCACCAGCTTCAGGCCCCAGGGCAGGTACCACGGCGCGGTGTGATGCATCCTGGCGCTCGGCGGCTCTCAATCGCGATCGACGGGACGTGTCTGGCCCGGGCGAGGCTCGGCGCTCTCCAGCGTGCGCGACTCCGACGACGGGAGGGACGAGGCGCGATCAGGACGCTACAAGATCCCCCGAGACGCGAAAGGAGCGCGCGCGCCGTCTCTTCGCGCGGATCGGGTTTTCCTCGAGGCGCGTCAGGAGCTTGACGGACGACGTAAACGGAGAGAGAGAGAGAGAGACGATCACCTTGGCATTTTTCGAGGCGGCCGCCCGCTGCGCGGAGGAGACCCCCGTGTCTTACTCTCGTCCCCTCGATCGAAAAAGTCGCGTCACACAAGGCTCGAAGGATGCGGGAGACGATTAAGCGCGGTCGCCGTCGTCATCGCGCGCTCGGGAAAAGTGCATCGGGCTCTCGGTGACACACGTGTCCCAGCACTGTGCGCGCGAGTTGTACGCGACACGTCCTGCGGCGAACCACGGCAAGGGCGGGGGGGGAGGAGAGGGAGGGGGAGAAGCTCGTACCGCAGATACAACACGTTTGTCTCGTGAGGAGATGTCCCTCAGCGGAGACCTGTCCGATGCGGGCGCGCGGCGTCGACTGATCGAGCGCTACGACGCGAGCACATGGCCGCATTGGCGAGCGCGCGCCGCCCCCCACCGCCGTTCTCCCTCCCGCCGTCCGCGGGCAGCGCGCGGCCCGCCGCAAATGAGTTTACTTCGAATTATGCAAAACGCAATTATCGACAAATACGTAAATTACATTCTGACATCGAACTTATTTGTAAAACCGGTAAGGGGGACGAAAAGCGCCTCCCGAAGAATTTCGAGCGAGAACGCGAGATTCGATCTCGGTCGCTCCTTCTTCCGGCTGTTGTTATTTTTTTATCGCGACTAAGAGCCAGCTGTTTCTGATTCGTCGACTCGATATTTAACCCTTTTAAATGTCTACGTGGGCATAAACTTTGTCGTACCGCAATCGATAATAGATTTGGAGGAGAAAATTGTGTTTAAATCTCGCATAGATTTATGTATCGTGAAACGTCAAAATGCTACGTAAAAATGACGAGCTTATGCTTGGTACTTGAACACATGATTTTCGAGTTGCGACCAAAAAATGTGGAGGGGAAATACTTTGCAGACTCGGGAGCGCGGAATTAGAGATGCAAAATTTTTGATAGACAAACTCAACCGGAGGAATATTCCGGAACTGAGGCCGGTAACTTCGCTCCATAACGAAAATCTCATTTGTGTGTTCGGGAACCGATGGCGCACGGGCGACGCAGAATCGAGCTTTGATGTCAGGGAGCAGGTTGCGGACGAGCGTTGACTCGCGCTCACGAGAATTAAGGGATATCCAACGGGCGGTAACTTATGCTGAATCCGAATCATTCGGCCCGCTGGCTCGGTGATTTCGGAGCAACCCGGTTGGACCGCCGAACAGAAGCGCTTGACGCATGTCTACGTCAGAGATATAACGGAGATCCAATTCACGAGCAATCTGGACCGCGAGAGCGAGCCGGATGTCAATGCAAACCGAAGATATAACAGAGACGTGTACAACGCTGCCACGTAATGATAATAAAAAAAACGCACTTGAGATAACCAGCTAATTTTAGTTTGAAATAATTGACGGCGTGAATAAGTGGCGGAACCACGCGCGCAAATAACGATGATTGAACAGCCGGCTGATAATTAACGATACAGGTAGGAGAATAGTAACCAACGTGACAAAGTATGAGCTCCGTTGTCGCTCCGATGCGCAAGAGAGGGACGAAATATTAACAAAAGATTACTTGACCATGTCTGGCAAATTTGTATGTTCAAGCTCGCAACGTTGCGACCATGGTTTGTGATGTAACAAAGAAATTGCAAGCAATTTTAACAAAGGATTGATACTTAAATAAGTTACAAGAATTTAAGTCAGAAGTATTAAGATTGAGAAAGTAAAGTAAGATAGTAATGCAAGAAAGATTTAGAAAAGTGGGAGACTATTGTCGTGGTTAATGTAAGAGAGAGGCGAAATATTTATTAAATTAAATAATTTAAAAACAAAAGATTACTTGAGACCATGTCTGGCAAATTTGTATGTTCAAGCTCGCAACGTTTCGATCATGGTTTGTGATGTAACAAAAAAATTGCAAGCAATTTAGTTGATACATAAATAAGTTACAAAAATTAAAGTCAGAAGTATTAAGATTGAGAAAGTAAAGTAAGATTGGCGATAATAATGCAGGAAAGATTTACAAAAGTGGGAGACAATCGTCGTGGTTAATGTGAGAGCAGATTACATAGATAGATGACATAAACCTGGTTGGTGAAATAATTTAAATATTCATTGTCTTCTACTTTACAAGAAAGCGAGCAGAAAAGGTGAAATTTTCACCTCGCGACTCAATTACAACGCATTTTAATCGCGCGGTAAGTTTATGGTGTCCCATGTGTCCCCCGTGCCGATACTCCGCAATGCACGCATATATTCGGAGGAATTATAATTGAGTATAGTTTAATTAGGCTGTCTTGAAGTTGGGTGATGTACACCCGGGCAACTGACCCCATCTAACTTGAATCCCGGAGACGGCTCGTGTCCGTCGTAACGCGGGCCCCATCGGCTCGATTATATCACTTATTTATCGACATTACTTAGCGAATTATGTAGACTCCGGACAAGTCCGCCGTAATCGACGGTGAGACGCCGGGCAGACGCGACAGCGCTCCGAACGTATAACTCGAACCGATATCACGGAAGACGGAGTGCGGCGTTAGGTCGGGTTGCGTCCAAAGTGGAACCGGAGGCGGCCTGGACGTCGTACCGCGGCGCGCGCGGAGGCAGAAAGACAAATATCTTGCGTGTAAACACGCCATGTGTTTCCCTCCGTTCACTTTCCGAGTCGCGGAGTGACACGCCCGGCCATTCCATTTTCATGGCATTGAAATTGTATACGGGGTACGCCTGAAAAGTCCGTATCGATAGCGAGGACGGAAGGGTGGGCTTCCCTATATCCGCGCGACGTGCAAAACGCGCGTAATTCGGTCGCGAGTCTCGCAAAGGAAAAATGCTTATCGACACATCTGTCGTTTTTCCAGCTTTCCGTCCCAGCCCCGCCCCCGGTATCCGCGATTAAGCAGAGGTCTATACGCGCTGCAGACGGAAGACGGATGCGTCAACTCGTAAAATAACGTATCTCTCGTATAGGCGATCAATTTCTCGAATTGCCCGTGTCCCGATCGACACAACCGCCCGGCAAATAACTGCGCGCGAGATGCGCTGGATGTAATATGTCGAGGTAAATATTGACAAACGATTGGCTGTGCAGCGAGCGAGCGCGGAATATTAATATTAATGCGCTGACGGCATTTCTTGCTAATAATATGTTTTCATCGCTTTCGGCGAAATTTTCCACCGGGGGAAAATTTCCGTCGGATAAGACAATTAAACAGTGTTTCCGATTACGTTTTCCGATCAAATCAGGGATGCATCCGATAAAATTTGCCCGATGAGATGCAGGTACCGATGAAATTTGATTGAAAAACCGATTCGTATCTTTCATCGGATGCATCCGTTTGTTATTATGCAATAGGATTATCCGATTATATTTAATCGGACGTTTTTCCCAGTGCCGGAGTCGTTGATTAACGATTCCGTTTAATTACTCGATAACTCCGCAGGATCGCGCGTGCAAACACTCGTAAAAACCAGAAAGGAGTACGAAAGAAATTCCCCGCGGGGGAAAAACATGTCTATTATTCTTGCAAAATGGAAACTCGCTTCGATCAAATTATGATCGAGTCTCGAAGACGCTTCGTCTAGCGATTTTACGGGGGGGAGAGTTCAGACATTGTTATTCAGCTTAACGGGGCAGCAAAAAGGACGAGAGGAGCAGCGGAAAACTTGCCGGGAGAAAGAATCCACGAGCTGCTCGTGACATCGTATTAATCCAATCGAAGTTTTGCCTAGGAACCGAAGGAACACGCACCGACGACGAAACTCCGCCGGCGGAAACTTCTCCTTATTCGTATCGCAATAAAATTTACATTTCCGCGCGCATCTCCGAATCGGCAAAATGGATCTCGGGAATATTAGCCGAAGCGGCTGCGAGTAAATATTTTAGTTGCCACAAAATTCGCGGGATATCAGCAAGCTATGAGCCAGAGGTCTCTTTCCACGTCTAACGACGAGGAGTTTCTCATATTTTCCGGTCAAACACTTAAACTTTCCAAACTCTTTATGCGTTTTTTATCGGGATTAAAGTTCCGGACACTACGTGAAAGTAAGTTCCCGACAAAAAGATTAATCCGACGGAAGTAAAAACCCCCCGACAATCCGATCCAGCGTTGTCGCGGAGGCTAGATCTTCGTGCGCGATTCGCCTCCCGGAAACTTTAAAGGATCCTCGCTCGTAGATAAAAGCCGAGAAGCCGGCGCGCATTGTCGTAAAATGTATTCGTCGTGAACACATTTCGCGGTTGACGCAAACCGCGCGTGTTCTTTTGCCCATCGACGTGCACGCGCGCGTCCACGAGACGCATCCGAACAAAAGAAGACCAATGTAGAACATTGCTAGACGACGCTTGGCTGGCAAATTCTAATTAAAGAAATTCATTGCGAAAAATAGTATCAGCCAGGGTTTGAACCTGGACCTCCCTACACTCTAGGCGAGCGTCTCGCCAATTCGACCATCTCCGAAATCATTGTGAAATCTTCACGAAATCCCCATGTAATCCTTTTGTCTTTATTTTTAAGTTCCTTCACTTGTTAGACAATAAACATTTTCTCAACTTAAGAAAGGTTTGAGAAAATCAAGCTCTTTGAGATTCAACAACGTCACATATTTTTGAACGCATAAGAAATGCATATAAGAAATTTATCTGTAATTGGACGAAATTATTTGTAATCAGATAATTTAAAATCGTAGGAAATCAAATGAGATCGTGTAATCGGTGGTACAACATTTTAGCCGGTGGTGTACCCCTTTGGTAACATTTATCGCAATGAACAGTGCTACACTGAAAAAAATTTCTGGTTGAATATGGACGAATCAGATAATTCCTTTAGGATTTACCAGAATTCCTTTAGGATTTACCAGAATTCCTGTAATCCTACAGAAATTCTGGTAAATCCTAAAGGAATTATCTGATTCGTCCATATTCAACCAGAAATTTTTTTCAGTGTACTAATGACATCCTCGCGTTTAATTTTCTGCCAGAACCGCGCGCCGATTCGGGCTGTCGGCTGTACGCCGAACTAACGAGGCGCGATTTTCATTTTCCAAAAGGAGAAGAGTTCGTTCGTGCGAGACGTCGAGCTACTTTCCCTTCCTTCGATCACGCCCGTTATAAATTTACCTCTATACGCGCGACACGCGATGGATCGTTGACACGGGGGCCACCGGGGCAACTTTTGCGTAACATATATTAACGTAACACAGTCGTATCACTCGACACGGGTGAAT